AATGATGAAGAGGAAGTAGAATTTGTATCCAATGTTGGTCATGGCCATATCGGTGATTTGACCGATGAGCGTGTTGAAGGCGAAGGAAACCATGGTTGCGATCGAGACACCCTTAGAACGGGTACGGGTGTCAAAGATTTCGGCAGGAATTACCCAAGAGAGAGGTCCGCAGGTACAGGAGAAGGAGAAATTGTACAGCCAAGTCATGATGATGAAACCCCAGGAGGCGCCGATGTTATGGTTGGTGGCGGGCGGAAAGCTGGCGATGAGGACACAGGCAATGAGGAATGTGAGCTGGACCCATTGTTAGTATTTTGTGATCTTGTATGTAGAGAAGGTGAGGAATTGGATGACTAACCATATTAAACAGATTGCCCCAAATCAAAGGCCATCTTCGTCCCAACTTATCAATGAACAAAACGCAACACGCTTCTCCAAGCAAAGCAATGATATTGTTGATAGCTTGATATTTCAAAGCATCACTTCCTACAATGCCAATCTGTCCATAGATCTTTACGGAATAGTACTGGATTGCGGAAACACCAGTCATTTGAACCGATGCTTGCAAGGCACACGCGATGAATAATCGACGGAAAGATGACTTGTTTGTGAACAATTCCAAGTAAGATTTTGCCTCGTGCTCGTGCTCATACGTGATGCTGTCTTGGATTTGATCGAATTCGGCTCGGACCCAGGGATCATTTTCATCCCCATGGGCGTGCAACCTGGCGAGCGTCTTGAGTCCCTTGTCTGGGTATCCGTGATCGATGAGCCAACGGGGAGATTCGGGAAAGAGGAAAATGAGACCGGCGAGAACAACGGCGGGGAGCATCTGGAGTCCCAGTGGCAAGCGCCATTGTGCAGAGTTGCCTTTGATGCCAATGTATGTTCCGTAACTGATCCACCCGGCGACGAGAGCACCTATTCCCAACATGAATTGCTGTAAGGATGTGATGCGACCTCGAATGCTGGGATGTGCGATTTCGGCTTGGTAGAGGGGGATAATCATAACGAGGAAACCAACTAGTGATTGTTTGTTAGTGATAGGTTGCTGGCGCAGAATGCTGGGATTTGATAGCTTACCTCCTAATCCGGCAATCCATCTACCGGCCCAAAGATAATGAATATGCTGTGCACCGGTTTGGAGACCGCCTCCGAGTATAAAGATAAGACATCCTGCAAAGATGGTCCATCGACGACCGAATCTATCTCCAACTGGTCCTGCAAGACCAGAACCACAGAAAGCTCCACCCGTGAAGAAGGATACTACAATACCACTGAGCCAGTTAGTTCTGTGTCGTGTCACTGGAGGAAGGTCTCTTACACTTCTGTTGAAGTTGGTTTGAATTGTTCGACAAATGTTTCACTTGCAACGACTTCTGCGATAACACCTAATTTACTGTTAGAGCTGATATATAGAATCTTGAGTATACAATCTACGTACCTAGATCATAACCATAAAGAATAGAACCCACAGAGGCAAAAACACCCACGAGGAACTGTGATTCGGTATTAGCAAAGATCGAGAACACTGAGTTTCAACACATTAATCTTACCTGATAGACTTTTGGAGACAGAACCATGGCTGTAACAATGCTCGAAAGCTACAGTATCAAATAAAGAAATGTTCTCAAGAAGAGATACTGATCGGAAGGGATCAACATTTGCAAGGGAAATCTTCACATCTTATATGCTTCACCTCACTTCACAATTTAGCAACACCAACAACATGCCATATGATAATACGCTAGTTATGCGGGGATCCTGGGGAAATGGCACCTGGGAGCTCCCGACATGGCACTCTACGATAGTCTTCTAGCTCTCCGCGTTGAGGAACCAGCCACTCCCTTGCTGTGGTTCGTTCTTGAGCATGTTCCTGTGCATCTTAGTGCGCAAGGGTACTTTTGGCTCGCCAACGCCCATTGGTACGCATCTGCACGTTCGATTAATGTACGGTAAAGTCGTCCTCTCCCAAGATTCCAAGCACCCTCTTGGAGATTGACCGCGGATTGCTCTTGCTCTGTTGTGGAGGGCGTGAGCAGACCAGGGTGTGCCAGTTCCAGCGTGGGGTGCGGAGACGTACCGGTTCGCTTGTTGGTGGCTTGAGATTTTCCATCCAGTCAGAAGGGCTCGCTTGTCGGGAGGCGCGTGCAGCTTCGGATTAAATGGTGCAGTGGCTCGGAGCAACGTATATGCGCACCAATGAGCGCACAGGACGGTGACCGACTACCCGCACGCTTTCTGGTGTGTGCGTGGGGATTTGTGAGTCGATGTCGTTTGTGTCAGGTGGAGAGGGTGGAGACGGGAGACGGTCTTCAGGTCTTGTTAGATGCGCTTCCGAGGTTTATTAAGATGGCAGGATTCCGTGGGCAGCGCTTTGTGTTGTTTGTTTCATCCCGTGAGGCACGGAATACTACTCGGATCTGAACAAGGGAAAGAGATATTGACACGATGACGACGTTTACGAGGATACCCGATGGGGAGACGCCTTCGATTAGTATTGATGCGTCGAGGAGGTTGTCCAAGATCGGTATGTTTGAGAGAGCTTCATAAGTTGTTTGATGTGAAAGTATACTGACTTTGATATAGACCCTATGATATATGGAGGGTTTATGGAGTGAGTGGTACTTTTTTATATCTTGAAAAGTCTGGTGTCGTTTGACTACTTGACAGCATCCTCGTGAGGATATGTTTGATCTCTTCTAAAACTAGAGTCCTATCCAAACTCGCATGGTCTGTGGTTAGAATTAAAACATCTCTATATGGTGGTGCTCGTTGAAAAGTTGAAGCGACAAGCCATCATGTGAACTATATTTTGGCTGTATTTCAAGAGAGTTCGAATTTCAAAGAATGTCAAAAATGTCATTCTGTGCAAATACTGTCATCTACTACACATTAGACCTTCTCGAGTGGGAAAGTCCATGTATACAGCACAACCGGTTGAATACGCAATGTCATTTTCACGACATTCTATTCTACATCACCTAAAATTTCCCCACATCACGAGCTGGTGGAATGGGAGATAGAATACATATATCTCAGCTTAAAGCCATTTTCCCTATTTTTATATCTGCTCACACGTAGTAGACATATGGGCCGTTGCATATACGGTGGAATATACGATCCTGGAAACCCTCTCTCCGACAAACATGGTTACCGCACGGATGTCCTCGGTGCGCTCCGCGAACTCGATATTCCTGTGATTCGCTACCCTGGTGGAAATTTCATCGCTACATATCACTGGGAAGATGGCATCGGGCCTAGAGAAAATCGACCTGCTCGACCTGAACTTGCCTGGTTAGGAACCGAGACGAATGAATTTGGTATTTGTCCCTGTTATTTGTTCATCTGAGCTCGGAAGTTAACAGCATCCAGGAACTGATGAATTCATGCATTATCTCAGTGTTCTTTCAGAAGGAAAGGAAAAACGAGTCGAGCCCTATTTTTGTCTCAATATGGGAACTGGGACATTGACTGAAGCATTGGCATGGGTAGAGTATTGCAATGGTACTCGAAATACCTACTATGCCAATCTTCGAAGAAAGAATGGACATGAAGAACCATACAATATCAAATACTGGGCACTAGGGAACGAAGTTTGGGGACCGTGGCAAGTTGAGCAAATGACTGCTGAAGACTAGTACGTTGAATCTCCCACTCCAAGAAACCAATACTAATTAAATCCAGCGCCAAAAAGGCTCTCCAATGGTCCAAAGCTCTCCATCTCCTCGACCCATCCCTTCAGCTCATTCTCTGTGGTGAGACAGGTCTCTCCCCCTGGGATCTCACCGTGCTACTACCCAATATTCACCACATAACCATGCACAGTATCCACATCTACAGCACCTCATCCAAACATCTCCCCAACGCCCTTTCACCCCTACAAGCAGAAACCGCCATCGAATCCGCTGCCTCCCTCATCCAAATCGCACGCATCCAAGCCAAGATCCCTCCTTCGGTACCTGTCCCCAAAATCTGTTTCGACGAATGGAACGTATGGGATCCATTACGTGCACCTGGAGAAGAGGGAGCTGAAGAAAAATACACTCTAAGCGATGCTCTGGCCGTTGGTGTATGGTTGAATGTTTTCATTCGACAGAGTCGATATGTGGGGATGGCAAATTTGGCTCAGAGCGTCAATGTTATTTCTCCATTGATGACGAGTAAAGATGGGATTATTAAACAAACGACTTGGTGGCCATTATGGCTGTATAGTAAGTATATGCGCGGATGGACTCTAGGGCTGCATGTGAGAGGCGGGGCGTACGAAGGAGTTCAGGAGCCAAAGTGGTTGGGAAGTGTAGTGGGTGAACAGGGAGGAGCGAGCTGGTTGGATGTAGCGGGAAGTATCGATGAGGATGGAGTGATTAGTCTGTGTGTTGTGAATGTGAGCGAGGAGGAGAGTTTCGAGACGGATTTATTGGGGGTAGAGGGGGAGGTTGAGGTTTTCACTATCACTGGAGATAATGTTAAGGTGACAAATACCGCGGAGAAGGAAGAAGTGGGTATTAAGGAAAGTAAATGGGATGGAAAGGGTAAATATACTTTTGTAAAACATTCTCTTACGATGTTGAGATGGGCAACGGGAGAGAGAGTTGTCGAAGTCAAGAGGGGTGAGGGAGAGAGATTGGATACGAGAAAGTTGGCATGGGCGGGTGATAGGGAACTTGAGAGATCCTAAGTATATTATAAAAATATAATTGTTAAAAGAAATGTGTGCAGGAAGTCTAATGGGCTACTCGCTAATGATTAGTGTTGATCCTTTCAACCATCCATGCCTGAAAAGTCATGGGTTTTGCCAGCTTCCAGGTACCTGCTCCTAGTCCAATTCCTTTACTGTGGATTTCTTTTTCTCAAGAATTGTACGAACAGTGTTATGACAAGATCAATGGCTTGAGAGGCTTAGGTACCAGTTCTCAGTGAACTCTTTTCATTGGTGAAACGGTAATCCTGACTATACGTACTCTAGAAATTTCGTTAAGTGATTTCTTAGAATGAAATGTCATTTAATTAGTATTATCATGGCCCAACACGGCCGGCTTTGCATATATAGTATCTAAGTAACCATCTACCCGAAAACAATATGACTCCATTGCAGGTCAACAATCCTCCCATATAACAAAAATCTCATTAATTCGCACAAAAACGAAATATCCGGCTCGATATTCAGCAATACCTCTTTATGAAAATCTTGCTATTCATCCACATCCACATCCCTCCAAACAACAACCGCTTACCACAAACTCACCCCAATCTAACATTGACCCTCATCTCTCATCACAGAACGCCCGCAACCATCACAGCTCCCGCCGCCATCAAAGCCACTTTTCCAGCATTACACGATCCGCAGGAAGCTCCCGCAATCTCTGTTCCTCCCGCAAGAATCGGCTCATGCCTACTCAGCTCAAGTTAGCATCTATTTCTCTCTACTCCAAACCAACAGCACCGCGCCACCCCACTTCCCCTTTCTTCTCAACCCCCAAGAACCAAAAGCCAAACACAGTAACCCCAACCCAGATTCATCTCCAATCCAAGTGACCACCCCCAAACAACAGAGAGAATACACATACCATCCACAATGAACAAAAGTCTGCAGCGTAACACAACTCCAATAAGTAGTCAGATGATATTTTTCCTGAAGCCGAATCTCTTCTGCACTTGGCGCGACTGTGATTAACGGATCTTCTCCACTCGTTTCGCTCGGTTTAGAGACTTGGAATCCTTCCCGAGGATTCCCATTCCTCCAATCTTTTCGAGCCAAGAATGGCTTCGATGATGACGATGCAGAAATAGTAGTCGTAGCCGTGAAAACCGGAGTCGGCGCCGACAATAACGAAGCAATAATAACCGACAAGAAACTCCAGACGATGAGTAGTGAGAGAGCTTTCATATTTCTTCCAGGTACCTGAGTCCTGAACCCAGTCTGACTCGTATTCTGTACTTCAGGAAGTCTAAACTTCCAGACTGACTTGGAGACGACTTCGGACTCGGGGTGTTTTTAAATATGCAATTGTTTGTTTCACACTCAAGCTTTCCGTTCAGCAACCGAAAGGTCGAGAAAGAGAACGGAGTTTCGAGGACTGAGCATGCGATTCGAGAGCGAAAGCAGGATTCTTTGGGTAAATGCAAATGATGACTGGCGGGGTAGAATCCGTATATATGTGGCGCGGGGTGAGATGGTGGCTCTTTAGGGGTAGAAGTATTGGACCGACTGTTTCGAACAGGGAAATTTGTATCTTGAATATGTGTACTTGGGAATAAGCAATAGCTAGAACTGATATCAGAAGGCATCCAAGATCTTATATACGTGAATATGTATTCAAAAGTAACGCAAAAGATATTGCGACAAGAGACATATATCCGCAGCATAGCATAGGGATGTAAGATTACATGTGTTCGGTATAACTAAATCCCTACATACTTGCGAATCAATGTATCACTGAATGAACCTGGCTCATCTTGAAATCAAGAAATATAACTTCAAAGAAAATGAATGGAGAGAGGTAGAAACAGTTGTAAAAGAAGAATCCTAAGCCCTATCAGCAATCAAGAACGATCGAGAGCCAATGCATTGTTCTTGGCTGAACACCGTCTAAACGAGGTCTTGCATACATCAAAGATGAGATGAAACGAAACAAAAAGAATTCCATACAACTATATTGGAAATCAAAAGAACAGCGTGGAATGAGTCATTTGAATAGGGTTGATAACGGAAGGGAAGATCAAGGAAGAACATCACTCCTGAAATGTAAGAAGCAGTAGATTCAAGGTAGGTATTAACAATGAATACATGCGCCACCTTTATGCACTTACCAGGAGAGACAATCAGCTAGAAAGTAGAATGAAGTCCGATGTAAACACGGGTTTTAAAGATACAGAGAATGCGAAAACAAAAGTCAAGAATTATTATCTGTTATTGTATTAATTTTTGTAGCTACCTGTTGTAGCTTGCTATTCTGCTAACTGCTGCATGATCCTCTGCTACGTCTCTCTCTACAAATAATATTTGCTTAAATCTGCACACCATTCGAAATGAGTTGAATTTCCGGTATCTAACATGCTCAGGATCTCTTTCTGGAAGTTTTGGTGTTCAGAGAAGTGTTTGTTGCACCTCCCAAGCTATTACTTCCTTGTCTCTTTAATCCTCTCAAATTACTTTTTGTCTTTGCTCCCCATCCTACCTCAAAATCTTCATTCCCGTTTGAGCCTTCACCGTTCAATTTCTTCTTTTCGGGTTCGGGCTCTACATCGCTTGAAAGGGTCAGATCCATGTATTGCGAGCTTTGTGGTGCTTTAGATGTTTTAGGCGTGGTCTGATCTTCTTCATCAGAAGATGGATCAAACGCAGCAATGGTCTTCTTTGATTTAATTTCAGCTCCCTTTGGTTCAATCTCGGCTTTCACCTGCACTGTATCCGACTCTGAGTCTGAATCATCAAAAACCACCAATGCTTGCTTACTCTTATCACCTGCCAGGATTGCTGAAGACTGTGTATCGTCGAATGCTGCTAATGTATTTCTCGTCCTAGTAACAGCCTGCGGCTTTTTTGGTGGAGGCTGCGAAGCGTTCTCCTCAGGCTTCTTCAAAGACTGCGAAGGCTGGCTGAGAAACTCTTCAACAGTTGGAAAATCGTCTGAAGAAGGTACAGCCTTATCATTGTTCTCAGTAGGGTTGCTAGTTGAATTGGACCGGTGTGGAGGAAGTTCAAGCTCATCACCATCATGTGTTGCCATATCCATTGTAACATCTGTATTGGCGTCGTGAAGTTCCTGGTTTCGTATGTTCTCAAAACTGAAATCTGGTTGCCGTCCATGGTCAGTGACCAAACTTGCGAATGATGATTGCCCCGATAACTTTGGGTCTGCTGCTCTACAATCTACCTCAATCGTGTCAAGTGTTTGGTCTGTCTCAACTGGACTAGATGCATTTTTACGTGGTTGAAGGGCTTCCCACGATGCCTGAGCCTTGTCAACATTGATTTTCTTGGTGGTTGGCTTGGTCTGAATGCTGGGTACATTTGGAGTTACCTGTGGCACTCCTGTTATTAAGTCCTTTTGAATAGTTGATTGAGATTCTTGATTTGCAGACACTTCTGGTTTATCGTGGTTTAAAACGCTTGAAGGTTCTTCAGATCCTACAGTGTGCCAACTCGATTGTTGCCTGTCAGGAGAAGTGATTGACTGTGGTTGTCGGATCGGTGAGCTCGAACCGAAACCATTGAATTTTGGCGAAAACGAGGTTTCATCAATTTCATCCATTGGCTCTGTCCTCATTCCATCGTGCTTAAGCGCTTCTTCACCCTTTTCCAAATCGTTGAGAGCAAAATCTCGGACTATGGAGGAGGGCACATTAGAGCGAAAACCAGCTTCCTTGATAAGATGTGAAATGTTTTCCTTAGCACTATCAGTGATTGATTGCGGTAATGCTTCAGCTTGCAGATACTCCAGCTTCGAATTATGTGGCGTACTGACTATGTCTGCAGTTTCGGCAGGAGCTGGTGGGTCTGTGTCATAATACTGCGTCTCTGTGACATGGGAACATTGTGTTTCATCTAAGTTTTCGTTGCTTAAAGTCACTGAATCATCAGTCGCCATGCCATTTTTGGAGATTTCGGTAGACAGGCTTACTGGGGCAGGGGCGACAATCTTCGGTTCGACAAGCTCGTAGAAGGTGATGACCATTTCTCCATTGTCCTCTTCCTCTTCATCCTCTTCTTCATTAGGCATTTCAAACTTTCCCCAGATCCTTTCTCCATTTTCATCGTAATGCTTCACTGGATAATCTCTGTCTCTTCTTGCCAAAGAAACTGTGATATCACCGTTATCGTCGACGGACAGAACGGAGGCTGTGCGATAAGCTGAAATCTGCGGTTGCCATTTCGTAGATTCGTCCATAAGCATTTGCTTGAAGGCAATGATCATTCCAGATTGTACCGTGTTTAGTTCTAGATTTGGCAGAGTAGCTGGATCTTCTGGGAGTTCGACTAGATCAGGGGTTTCTTGAACAAGATCTCCCATATCAGTCCTGAGCTCCACACTCTCAACCTGTCTCGCTGGTGGCTCCGTCGATTGTGTCTCCATGACATCTTCCTCGTAGCTTGGCTGGTATGATTCGTCAAAATACTCCTCCTGTTCTTCAGAGTAGTTTTGCTTTCCATTGCGTCTCTTTCGTTTCTTTGAACCTTGTGAATCTTCATTGTGCCCTTGGGCCTGGTTCTTCCTCTTGCCACCTCTATGATTTTGTTGCTGCGGATCCCATCGCTGAACGAATGGAAACGGTGGCTCGCTTAATACAACACCTTCTTGACAACATTCGACCGCTCGATAGACAGCAACCTTATCTCTCCATCCATCGTTATCAACAGCGAGAATGTCAGTCTCTTGGGCAAGAACTTCTTCAGGTGGATTAACAGTTTTAGGAACACGAACATCCTTCATCAAGTCATTACGAAGCTTGTCCTCGTCCTTCTTCGTCTTGGGGTTCTTCATACCAAGTGCACCAAACAATAATCGACGACCGGCACCCACATCCAATTTCGCTCGTCGTGATTTGGCTGGTTGATTTTCACTTGTTGGTGTGGAGTCAGAATCCTCTTGTGGACCCAAATTGGCGATGTCGGAATCTTCAGTAGGGTTCTCGGATGTATCTTTGCCAGTTTTAGGAGCACCGCTTACCATTTCGGGAACATCGACATCCATAGTATCAACCACAGTTTTGCCAGTTGTTGGAGACACCTCGATACCACCGGACGCAAGAGACGCAAGCAATTCACGTCGCCGCGCCTCGAACTCGTCGGCTTCGGAGAGTGTTTTTTTTGTTCCATTTTGAATTTTGACAGAGTTGGCGTTGGCTCTCAATACTTCTAGCGCGGCAGATGCGTCTTCGGGAGAGGTGCTATCATTGATTTCTAGCTGATTGAATTCAGATGTTTTAGTGTCCTCTGGAAGAATTCCTCGCTCTTTAAGCTTGGCAAGAGCGATACCCTGTTTACGACGCTGATTTCTGGAGTGCGTTGCTTTCTTGCCCTGTCTAGGAGGCACAGGAACTCGTGATTTTGGAACAAGTTTGTCGGTAGGTGGGTTAGGCTCTTGCTTAGCAGCTTCAAACACCGGCGCGGCCTGTTTACTCGATTTAACTTCCGGTGCTTCATCATCACTCGAAGAATCGTTCGAAGAATCGCTATCACTGTCACTATCAGACGATGAGGATGATGCGTCGGCAGCCTCGCTAGAATCGTCTCCGCTAGATGAATCATCGCTATCATCACTACTGCTGCTTGAATCGGCTTCGGAAGACGATTCTGAAGAATCGTCACTATCAATAGATATTTCGTCCTCATTCGACTTAAGATCTATTGCCGGTGTGGAGGTAAGCCCGCTACCTGCAAAGGTGCTACCATTACTAGTAGAAATGGCTGCGGGGACGGTTTCAAACTTGGTATGTTTTGGCTTTGAGTCGGGAGCACCCTCCATAGCTTCAGCCATATAAGATAATGCTTTGCCTGAGGTAATTGAACCTGGGGGTAAACCGTGTTGATCATAGTGTTGAAGTAACGCATCTTCCTCCTCCTCCTCCTCCGAGTCGGATTCTTCATCGTCTAAATCCATCTTATTGGTTGATGCCGGACCATTTTGCTTGGATGTGGCTCCTACTTCACTGCCTTTAGAGACTTGGGCTTTAGACGAGACCTTCAGTGACTTGTGATGATTAGGAGATAATTGTAAGATAGAGCTCTTCGGCTTAGCAGGAACGTATCCTCGAACCAGAGCCTCATAGGCGTGGGATATGTCTCCATCAGAACCTTTTAAGACAAAGTTGACAACGGACATGGAGGCGTTGGGAAAAGCAGTATGCAATTTGCAAATTTTTGCTCTTGTTGATGGGTTTTTGACACTTGAAAGGACAGCCCTGTCGGCAGCAGATAGCTCGTCAACATCGCTTGATTTTTCCGTTTCGTTGTCGGGAGCGGTTGAGTTTGGCTGGTCATCTTGAAATCCCTCAAAATCTTCCTCCTCATCCTCCTCATCTTCCTCATTTTGCTCCTCCATTCCTGGCTCAAAGTCGTCATCGTCTTCTTCGTCATCATCTTCAAAATCTGCATGAAGGACGAGTCGTCGGTCGTCTGTATTCTCAACCTCCTCATCACTCTCTTCATCGTCATCCTCAAAATCTGCATGAATAACTAATTGTCGATTTTCTGTGTCCGCGACTTCCTCGTCGCTTTCTTCCTCTTCCTCTTCCCCATCCTCGTGATTGTCTGCATTTGGATCAAAATCATCGTCGTCATCGTCGTCTTCTTCTTCGTCAACTTCTGGTCGGAAAGCAATTCTTTTGGCTGCTGGCTCATCTTCGGCGTCCTCTGAATCATCATCCTTATCGATTGTAATTCTGCGTCGTTTGCGAGGGGGGATCTCAATTTCCGGGCGGTTTATTGGTCTCCTTAACATAGGTCTTCCAAACGCGACACCGTCAACCAAATGTCTCCCATCCGCCGAAATTTGGTGTCTTCCAGATATTCTTCGCGCTCGCAGATCATTAGTAAGAAGCGGGCGAATGCTAAGTAATAATTAGCATACATTTCTCGCAAATGTGTAATGAACGCAAGCTCAAACTCACATTACTTCATCTTCTTCCTTCATTACTTTATCAACAGGCTGAAAGTGTAAACATTCATAATTAAGCCCTCCCTTCCCCTTCACCTCAACAGCATAATCCTCCATCCCCCATTCTGTAGATTCGATGGGGATTACATCATTAATTTCATTTAGTAATTCTGACACTGTAGGTGCGGATGTTGAGGTATTGACATCCCAGATAATGGGGCAGTCAGGAAGATTGTGCCTGCGCACATTTAAACGGAGTCTCATGTCGGCGATGAGGAATGTAAATCGACCCGACCCGTTTGAAGCTTTTGAGACTTGCCTAGTACCTAGCTAGGAAATGCAATGCAGAGAAGGTGTGGGGAAGAAAGCACGGCGTTTGACGCGAAAATAGTTTCGCGAACTCCAAAAATAAAAAAGAAGGTACGGGCAATCACGTGTCAGACTTAGATATTCATTTCCCTGGGAGATTGCTCATGATGAGCTCGATGGACGCTTAAGTGCACGAAAATCCCTTTCTAGGAGCGTTTCTGGTCTCTTTAAACGAGCCATTCGATATCAAGAAACTTCTTCACATGCTGCACAGATTTTAGGACTTGTATAAACTAGCAAATACGCATAGAGTGCATCACGCGTAAATTTTAGCTAAGATAATATCATTATGAAGAACCCTGGTATCCACTAACGCCATATAATACTCAGGAAACATCTCAATCTCTTCGTCTATGTTTCTTCCCTGTGTCCACTTCCGTGGCAGAGGGTTCAATGGTTACTCCTAAGCTAGTCGCACCAAGAGCTTTTGCACCACCAAGACGTCTACCAGCACTGTCTTTATTTCCAACCCTGTCCTGTTCGGTTTCCAACAATCGCATCTCAGCTTCCTCATCTAACATCGTTCCGTCAATTGTCAAGAACCCTCTCTCCTTATCATGATTTGATTCAATCTCCTTCACTCGAAATTTCACGGTGCCTTCAATTTTCTTGCCCTCTCCATCCACATAATAGCCAATTCCATCTTCAGCGTATGTTGCGCCTTCTTCAGCTTCGGCTTCCGCATCCTTTTCTTGGTCCTCTACACCGACCCATCTCCATTCTTTTGGTAATCTTGCTCTCTCGATACTTGCATTGAAAAGATTCCAACAGACTAACCCCAGATGTCCTTCATTTTGTAAATTGATATAACCCTCTAACCAAGCTCCCTTCTCCGGTTTGAAGAGTAGAAACTCAGCAGTCACCCAAGCCCAACTGACCGCATATTCGTCCAAGTTTTGTAAAAGAGTAGAATCTCCATCGTTACCAAAGGCTTTTTCGGCAAATCGAGGGTTACTGTAGGAAAGAACAACTCCATTGAATGGAGGATAATATGTGAGAATGAGTGGAGAAAGGTGTTCGGCGCATAAACCTTCGAGAGGAAATTTCTGAGATACTGGTGCTAAGGGCAAAAAGATTGAAGATGTCTGTAGATGGAATGGCGATATTTCAGCTGGTGGTTGTATCGAGGAGGAACTAAGTGTAGCCGTCTTTTCGGATCTGTGTTTCTTCGATCGATGTCCTTCTTCCCCATTCTCACGTTTTCGTTTTTTCTCGCTATCTGTTGATTTATGCTTCTTTTCCGACTTGCTCTTATGTTTTTTGGGAGAGGCCCCGGCGATTGTTGATTGTGAAGGCATTTCAATTGACATTCTGTTGTTATTAACTTTCAAGGCTATTGATTTTTTTCGTGAACGTCTCCCCCAGAAACTTTTACTGCGGCCGCTAGCGTACTCCGATAAGATAAGCCTTTTGTCGCAAACAAAGGATAAGTGGCTTTACTCTTGCGGATACATTTCCAATATATAAAATCTACACAAGGGACTACAACTTTCTCTCCTTCTGCAAGTACATGTCTTCTATATCCTGAAAACATAACAACGGAGAGGGTAAAGTTCTAAGAGATGTCTAACAATCTTCTTTCTTTGGCTGGCTGGACCTTCCTCCCTAATGTAAGTTGTCCCCTAATGCAACCATGCAATTCATATACTGCTTCCTAACACGACTCTCCAGTTGGTTACAGGTTGGGTCCAAACTTTATGGTACGGACTGACAATACGTGTTGGCGATCCAAAACCTCAACCCGGTTCCCCAAAATGGGTCCTACATCGCCGGCGCATAAACATATTAGTCATATCTACATATCTCCTATACACAATCTACGAAGCCGACTGGGACATTCGCAAAGCAAGAGATTTCTACCAAGATCTGGGAGTCTCTCATTCGGCGACTGAACGAGAAATTAAATCGAGATTCAGGCGGCTGGCAGCCATTCATCATCCTGACAAAGTTTCATCATCTTCCCCTTCCTCCGAGGGTTACTTTGTCCATTTGAAATTGGCACAAGACACACTTCTTAACCCCGCGAAACGATTCGCATACGAAAGATTTGGACCAGAAGTGATAGCGTGGCAACATTGTTCAACAATCAGAGACTACCTTGCCCATGGCATGCAGACGATCGCGCCCTATTACGGCATCGCTGGGATATTCATGTACGGGTTGAGTCTTGCTGGCTATTTGGACTGGGGCAAATACTGGCGCTGGATCACCATAATCATGCTCTGCGTATTTGAACTGCACACAGTTTCGCGTCCATACTTCCCCGTTGTTGCAACAAACATACTAAATCCAATCCTCACGAAATTTACATCACATCCACCATATCTTCCATTTCAATTAATACAACTCGCTCGAAAAGCGAGTCTCACATTATACATTGCGTTTTCCCAGCTTGGCCCATTACTACAACCACCCACAGCTCCACAAAACGGAACCCCAGAAGCTGTGCTGAAGCAGCAACTTGATCGATTAGAACAAGTTGCAAAAGCTGCAGAGGTCGATGCGTCTCGACTTCACGCATTGGAAATGATTCCATTTGCCAATGATCCACAGGCGATGAATGACGTAAAGGGGAAAGTCAAAGAATGGCTTGTACAAAATACTATAAGGTCCGATCCAGAGGTAAGAGATGCAATGGGGACTGTATTGAAACGCAGAAGAACGGATGCCCCAGCCGGCGCAAGGGGTAATCGATAAACTCATATCGGGCTGGTGTTTAGCTAATAAATTAAATTTCACGGTACATATTCTCAGCCCGGGTTCACGAAAGTTTCGAATGTCATGTTGTTCTTACATACACTATGAACGGCATTTCCACATGTTTTTTACTTCTTTCTGAATCTACCCAAGTTGAGCCGGAATTCTACCTTCTTTTTCTCAACATCGGCGGCCGAGATGCCCCTTCCTACTCAAGCGAGTGGATCTTCTGCAAATTATGCATTTCTGCCCCCTTACCTCATATCTAATGATCTTGTTTTGTTGCACATCTACTCAAGCCGCACATACATTAGGTCTTCATTACATGGCTTTACATGACTGCCACGTTTTTTTTGTCGACAAAGGGCACCTATCACTCGGTATGTTGGAAATTTGTTGCACATCGTAACAGGGACAAGGGTCATCCCGTTATTACTCTAGTCGCATATTCCGGTAGCCTTGCTTTGTTTTGAGTGAGATGATCTGTCCCTGTTTTTGTTGTTGCTTGTCTACCTCTGCCGTGTCCACGTGGCTGGATACCCCTGTGCTTAAAACTCGCTTGACAATGATGTCGTTGTACTAGTTTATTATTTTCTTGAATTTAGTATCATGGTTTCCAATTTGTGCGTTGTCTCTTTGTTGACAGGGGAACAACCCCCAGAATCGGCTCTTGGTGTATGCCCCCGTGTTTGAATATCTTGAGCTGTCTTCAGTCAAAATAAGACTTGGTGCGGACTAATTAAAGTGTTGAGCTTCTTTACTGCTACAGTTGCAATTTGTTTTTAATCCATAGGGCTCTTACCAGTTTGCAGTTCGATTGAGCTAGGTGATAAACTTGATGAACACTACGCCCATCGCTACCCGTCTACATAGATGCATTTTCTATTGTCCATATGTATCAAAGGGAATCCACAAATTGATGTCAACCAGACCTTGAGCTCCTGCTAGTACCCTAGACACTCGAAGGTATGGTTAATCCGATATGACGATATAGATAGAAGTATGGAAGTAGTTCGAACTTCAGCTCGGTTCAGTTCACACTATCTACAAAACGATGACAATACAGTCTGTGGCCAACACTATGTTAGAACCACCGATAATTCAGTAATCTAACGTTTGTATGAATTAAAGCTGAAACTTCAGGCCCTTTCATTGACAATAATTTTCCACTGTAATTCATTGATAGGCTTGTACCACCTTTCAAACCCCCCCTGAATCCCCACTCAAATCAGTCTAATGCTACCAAGCGCCTCATCACTTCCTGGTCTTCCCCTCACTCCCTGCCACTTGATCTAGTTCGTTTTCCGCACTACCTTCTATATCTCCTGCTATGTGGCGCAGACCAATTATCCTCCCTCTCGATATTTGTCCCTTCAGTCCATCCACACAGGCCGGTCTCACAACCCTACGTCCACTAGATATATCCCGTTGGGCGAAAGACTCAACGAACTGAGATGCGCACTATATTGACGATTTCACCACCTATCTCGTGAACTCCAATGCGAACGGGAAGACAACAAAACAGACTTTTGCTTCAAAACCTATGGAGCGCAGGTAGTTTGGAATGTGTGCTGGTTATACTTGAGGTCGTAAATCCCGAGACCGCATTGATTCAAAGGTGTTTTGATTTTCGGGTACCAGACTGAGTCTCCACATTGGATCTAATCTGAGAAGAGAGAGTTTCGCAAAGCTATACCATTCTAGAACAAAACGTTTGTTAACCAGACCAAGCAACGAGGTTGGTCAATTCGAAGACTAGATGACAATGCAGGGGTGTCATTTGATTATTCCCAAGCCGTGAAGATCAGGAAAGGCATTTGTAGTAGTACATTGCAGTACCTATTCTTATAGAGCTTACCAACAACCAACATCCAGCTGCGGATCTTTCAGCCAGGGGTTTTGGAGACTCTGAGCGAGTTTATAACAGATTATAAATGTACCGATGGAGTAGAGTGTGTACTTTGGAAAGGACTGTTTTGTATTACATTGGATTTTTTATCACACGACCTACCTATCAAGTATCCAGCTACTCGCTTTTACCTAGGTATATCTAATTTAACATCTCTCGCTCTAAATCTTACTTACATTGACTCCCATTATCCATTACAATTCTCATTCCCCAACCCAAAATTATTCAAAAATATAAGTAATGAATAAATCCACCATTCTATTTCATATCCCATCTAACTCCCTCGTGACCCTCTCTCGTCCATTGTACTTCTATAAGTAGGTACGTATAGCTCATTCTACAATTTTCATACATTCATGTTTGCAACGGACTTCGTGTATTTGTTCCGCGCTTTTGGCATTACTTGCATGTCAGGCGATTAGAATTGGATGATAGAGTATCAGAGTATTAGAGTGGCCTGTGCGATATGCGGAGTGGATAGTCTGGAGGATGAATTGTGGGGAGTAGGTTTATAAATTTTGGGATTAGATGTGTATATGTCTTTTAGACAGTGCTGAGAAAATCGAGATATCTTAACAGGTTGAGTGGAATGGTGTGTCGTTTGTGGGCGGATGACGATTGACAGGAGGACTGTAGTTTAACGAACGTGGAGTGAATGGATCGGGTAGTGTTTTACCAGGAATACAATTTAATGACAATGGCAAAGTTGATGATGAGTATATTGTGACACGTGTTTGTGCATCACGAAACAGTATATCACTTGGATGTTTTTACAAATTAGAATAATATATATTTTTACAGGTGATGTAGAGATGTGGCTATATACAATATCTTCTAGACCGACCTCACATCATATCTACAATATTCTCGATAGATATATACAAAAAAAGTAAACTTACTATACGATATCCTCCGCATCCCTTGGGGTAGCTAGAGTATCATTAGTTACCCCTGATAGAGGATTGGCCGCCCTCTCTTCTGCAGTCTTAGCATTGGATTTTGTTATGAGACCTCCAGTCCAGATTAAACATGGGACAGCGCCAGCCAAACTGAATAATCCCAATGACAAGGACATTGTGCCCCATCCTGAAGAGTCTTCAACATAACCTGCCCAGATTGGACCGACGAGAGTACCAGCCGCATAAGCGGTGATGAAGAGACCATACGCTTGTGCATATGCTCCGTTCTTTCCAAATCGACCAGGTATCTGCTTCTCCTTGGCTTCGACGATATATGTAACCTCGGCCATTAATCCTGGCATGGCACATGTCAAGGAGACACCGATTAGTGCTAGTAATGCGCAGAGAAGAACTTTCTGCTCTAAGGAATTGTGCGTAACGAGTCGAAGGAGAATCCAAAATGGTGTTGCAAAACAAAACCCTGCAACACATGGCCAACGTGGACCATAACGATCACATGCCCAACCAACAACAGGTGCCGCGAAACTGGGAACCACCAAAGCAAGAAAGATCAATCCTGCGCCAACGGAATTCCAGTGAAAAGTATCTTGAACGAATAGAGGAATAACACTGTCAAATGATGACATCAGAGATGCTTGAACCACACATCCCCACAGCCCAGCACAGAGCCTTCTGGACTTCAGAAGAGAGAACATTGCAGGCCATTTGCTAATATGTGGGGAACTAGTTGGCGCAGCTTCGGTAGTACCTGAGGGGTTGCTTTGTACTACCTTCTCCTCATCCGTGTTTGTAATGTGTTTATTCCGTGCATCGGTAACAACTGCATCCTCATTACGATTCGGCGAGATTGATGAATCTGAACTGCTGTCAGAATTGGTGACTTCATCGTCTAACCATTGCCGAGCCATTTTCTTCTCGATCAATACTAAGCGAAGGAGAATATCCAAGACTAATAATCCAAAAGCCATATAGAAAACGGCATAATATCCAGCTTTCTCATACACAATCCCTCCCAACAAGGGAGCCACTAGAATCCCAAGAGTCATACTCAAGCTCACCCAACCTAATGTTTCTCCAATTTCAGCTTGTCCAACGGTATCGACCAACAAGGCTAGTCCCACGGTCCACACAACGGCGGCACTCAGCCCTCCGAATATGCGTCCTACAATCAACAATGCGACCGACTTTGCCAGGCACAGCATAACCGTAGAACCAACCATTGCGATCAAGCCTATCAGTAGTGGCAGACGCCTTGATGACGAGTGGTCGGCGTACCATCCTGAGATTGGGCTTCCAACGAGTAATGCTGCGCCATAAACCGCAAGTAACACAGATATCCAGCTCTGGACCGAAGATTCAGGCACACCTGCGCGCGAGGTGAGTGAGAAAGGCACGACCGGTACGATGATTCCATAAAGAAAAATATCGGTAAATACTGCGACACATATTGTCGAAAGGATAAATGTTTTCGAGGATCGAAATTTCAGGAGATAAGGTGGCGGCGAAGATGGATCGACTCTCCTGCCTGAGATGAAGTTCTGTAGATGGCCCATATTCTAAGTTTGAAGTCGAAATTCTTTCGAAATAATCTGCGACATGCTGTACAACGGTCAGTGTTCTCTCGCGAAGGTGTTACCTATATACGTCGTAAGTAATAGCAAAAGCCGCCATCAGGGGGAACGAGTCGACAAGTGACATTCCATTTTTATTGAACTCCGTACAGTACGTAAGATAACGGAGTTCGGAATGGCTCGCTACAAAAGTTGGATTTGTTTACGAGGGACGTACGAGGGACGTACGAGAGATCCTTTTTCTTGGTCCCTTCAACTGACTCTTTTCAGTCAATGTTCCCACTTATTAGGTAATCACTTCGCCACGGGGCTGGGTGTCACGTGCATCGGATATCTACCGGTATTTTATACTGCATGGATCTCGTAGGTATCGTAGAGCAGCGTTTCTGATTGGCCATTCTACTGGCTCTCGCTTTCACATATGAATTCCGGAACTATAGCGAAATAGGAAGGTACAGCCCTATTCTCCAGGAGCATTATTGATAATTACCTAAGCTTGGTTCTCTCAGATCACAAACTAAATGCGAGGTACGAGTATATTTACGAAGTATATGTCATGATCTCTCTACTGATTATTGAATTTACCACCACGAAATATTATACGAGGAAACTCCATCGGACTTTCAATTTCAAAGATCTGAATGAGCCGGGGACCACATTGTGAAGGTCAGTAAAAGAAGGGGAGGTTGACAGCTTGAGAAATCTCGCTTTCGAAGAATGATGCTATTCCCATGTCCACACATCACTAAGTAGAGATGGCACTATCGATACTGCTCGGGTACGCTTGGAAAGAGTTTTGTCAGTTGCGAAATCGTCCTCGTTTCGACATCAGCGAAGAGCAATTTTTGGATTTCTTTTGCTTGGGACTTCTTTTACCCTCTGAATTTCGAACTTCTTCTTGGCGATGCAACTCAATCTGACCGATTCTGTTTTCGTCTCAGATCTGTGTTGATTGCGGGTTTTGGAAAAGTTACCAGTGTCTTTGATAGCGCGGCTCTTATCATTTCACCGCCTCTTAAACTGTTTGATAGGATGATCATTTTGAGCCTCACTTTACCCCACTTTCCCTGGGTGAACCAATTTCATTGTTTTGTTTCTGTCCCCACTCGATATATTAAACTGATGCTGGTCTCAACCGTCCGAATTTGAGGCTCAACAGACAACTACTCCATATTCCCAACATGTCACCCGTTTACATTTCCGAAATTGTTTGAAGTCACAACCGACATTTGCAGGCATGTAGGTCAAACTCGATTCGTCCCGCATGTCACTTGGCGAGTGTAACACAACTGTCTCTTCCGACTCAGCCTCCATCTTATTTCATGGTAGTTCTCCCCCTGCATTCATTCCCACATGCTAGATGAGGCAACGAGATGCCTCGTGGATACTTTTACAAAAGCGACACTCCATCATGTGTGCGTACATGTGTATGTATATGCGTCCCACTTTGAATACTTAGGGGTCGTTCACCACAAATAACGAAAGAGCAGTAGAATTGGCCATATGAACTTTTTTTCGCGCGATTCTTGAGAAACATATGATTTAACGAATTAAGAATCTGGAGATACACGGAAAGAAAAGGGTCGTAAGAGCCTCAAAAGCAGGTGTGGAACTTTTAGCCGAAAGGATGTGATGATCGCCTCGTAGTGTCAACTAAATTATATCCTTGTTGAATCTGCAACTAATGCCTAGGTAGTGAACCTAATTAATCAAGATCGATGGAATATGAGGCTCTTTGCGCAACGTGCGCGATTTTTTTGTATTTCATGTCTGCTTTTGGGATGGTTGCAGTGCAATCAAAATGGAACTACGATAGATACGAATGTTCCGAATCTCTCGTATCACACTGAGGCTCTTTTGAGCCCGCCTTAAAAGACCACAATCACGCAGCCTCCTTGTAAGCCCGTCAACAGTCTTTTTTCTCCAGATAAAAAATTATCTTTCTTTATCTTTATTCCGGTCCTTTGATTTTCGTGCGCAATTTGCATGTGGGTATCAATTGCCCCATTGTCCTTGGGCCAAAAGCTAACATCGGTTGTGCAGCTAAAATTCCTAGTGCCTTTGCGGAAATATCTGATGTTTAATCTGCTCTCCCTTCCATATGAAGTCCTATCCAATGTTATAACAAACATCAATTTCGACGATGTCTTTAATTTGGGCCTCTCTTGCAAAGCATTGAAGTACCTACTTACTGAGGAAAGCATATGCAGATTAATTGTACAAGTAAGCTACCCGCTTCGTCATCAACATGACTGTGCGTGCCACGTAGGTGGCTGACAAGGACTGTATAGAACAAGATACCCTTCTGCAATGAAGCGTTGTCAAATAAGCATACTGCTGGTCTTAGTGCGTCGGCTCTTCGGAGAGTTGCGAAAAGGCGAGAGGCTTTCGCTACTGTCAATCCGTACTCAGTAGCAACTATTGGTTTCGGGGATGCATATCTTTATTGCAAAGGTGTCTTGTGTTATACTCTCGATGACCAACTGAGAGTCTTGAATCTTCATGATTCGGCTTGTCGTGAAGCCGTTGTCAGCATTCCAGGAATGTTGAGTAGTGCTATCTCAGAAATTGCTTGCAATACTAAAGGTATATTCCAGGTGTTGTATTGTTCAGACAGTATAATCTCATGTGTCTACAAAACCTCAGGCCTAGATGCAAATTCGTGGCTCATTGCATTCAGCGTTGAGACTAGTGAAATTCTTGTTGTAAGAGAATTGGACTCTATAGAGAGATTGTTTGTTCGCCACGATGGGCAATATCTCTACTATGGCACACATTCGGAATTGGGCTCAGACAATCACAAGAAATGGGTAATACATGGCTACAATCTTACCGAAAGAAAATGGTTCGACCACAAAGTCCGCCTTCCAGATATGGTAGGGTCGGAAATCGGATCAACTGTCTGTTTTGAGCTTAATAACGGATACTTCTATGCACTCTCAAATCAGACATCATTTGAAGTTGAGGAGATAGATTGGACTTCATTCTATCATTGCATCAGATTCCCCCTCGCTTCCCCTTGTGAAGAGTTGACCGAGAGAACTGAGAATCAGAGTATGTGGCGGCGTCAGCACGAAGAAGGTCCAATCGATGACCGATGGACAAATCTTCGACTTGATATGGATGAGAATACCGGAGAACTCAGAATTATTGAGTCTCGAAAGGAATGGTATCATGGAGCAAGCAGAAGCAAGCGCACTTACTATACTACCCCTATTATTTTCCCGTCAGAATTCGATGATATGGATGATGATCTATATTTTGCGTCGGACGCCTCTTCTTCAGAGGCAACAGCGTCGTACTCCATTGTTTCAGCTGGCCCTTCTTCATCAACAAATACACAATCAAGTACCTCAGAGGATTGCAACAGCTACAATGACCGCGATTTAAGCGCTTACCCCGACGATCCCCTTCTACGACTACTAGTGAAAGACGACCATCCAAATTATATGCCTTCGCAAAAGAGACTCCCGCAATTTGTCCATCCAGGCCACGATGGATCTTCTAATCAAACATTCACACTTGCCAAATCCCGGATTCGATATTACGATTCTTCTTCGTCCACATTTCTCGACGTTGTGGATGACCCTCTTCCCACCGACTGGCAAGGAAAACAGAGATTACGACTTCGCGCCGGATCCCGAAAAATTGGTCCACCCCTCGTTTACCCTCCGGACCATCCCTCTAAAGCTGGACTTCTGTGCTCATCAACTGATGTTGAAGACTCCCTAAGCCAAATGTACAAGCAATCAGATATTACGTACTGGCCCCCGGCACAAGATCCTGAAGTAGCAAACGAAGCCTTGGACGAGCTTTACAAGCTGTTAAATCCGCCCACGCATCTCGGTAATGTGGAAGGTACTGCCGATGAGAGAAGTCTAGTGTATGTAACAGGGGGGTATGATAGTCCTCAGGCTATTATTTTTGTCAGTTTCGATCCGGCAATCAAGTTAGCGGGACTGAAGAAATGGGGTGGGATGACAAGGAAGGGAGTGGGTGAGGGGCCGCATATTGATGGGAGGGCTACTGGTCATACGTTTGATGTGAGTGCGCAGATGGGGGATGCGGATCTGCACGATCCTCAGATGATGTACAGGGATGTAATGGAAGCAGAGATGACAATTGGAATCGACCGAAAAGGAAAGGGCAAGGAAAAGGGAACGGGAACGGACAAGTACTCGCACACGACGGTAGTAGCCGGAGCTGCTGATGCAAGTGGTCATACATATCTCAACATACATGAAACGTTCAATGCCTCCACTGCAAAAGCATCATGGATGTGGCACGAGAAAGCCATGTATCAAGACATTGGGCTCGGGTATTATTTCGGAAAGGATCGAAAACCGGCAGTTCTTAACGGTGGGGAAAAGGGGAGGCACACTCTTTTGACTTTTTAATTCATACCTTGGGGCATACATTTCTGGCGTACATCATACTCTATACATATCTAATGCACATTACTATTTGATAAGTACAAACATTAACCTCCGCTTTTGCATGTTGAGTATGCAGTGTCTTGAAGAGAGCTTGATACATCAAATCATGCTTCAACGCATATGGCGAAGAGTGTAACTATGCATATCGCGTGTCGGACATGGATCTCGGTGAATGTATAACCGTTGAGAGAGGGGTAAAAGCCATATTTCTTCAATAACACGCGGCATATATTGGAACCAACATTACACATGTACTGGGCGAGGCAAACAAGACCAGGTGGTGTTGCAACGATGCGGGGACAACGTTCTCGATCTATCGAGCATGTCGAGACATGCATACTGTCTGGCATCCATAGCTAGCTACCTAACTAAAATATCCTCTCATACCCCTCCTTCCCTCGCTCCACTTCTATCCAAACGTAACATCTCAGTGTGCAAATCGTGCATACGGAGACAGCGTCATCAGATTCACACACCATGCTCTATCTACACAGTGGCAAGGCAGATTTTGCCTGTATTACCTATGCTCACATTTCATACGTGCAGAACTTCCAGCCGCAGATATAGCTGGCATCTAGATTTCCATCCCGAAATAGGCGTATCTATAATCATCATCATCATCATCATCATCATCATACGCATACTCAAGCTAACTATCCATCCATCTATCCATATCCAAGAACCTAGCCCATGCAGTAAGAATCCCACCCTTTGATCTCCATAGAAACCGGGCGTAGAGCTGCTCAGCTTACTTGCATGCATATATTATATTATATCTCATATGATATGATACTATCATCCATCTATCGACTCTCATGTATCGTATCGGACCCCTCCGAAAAGCACTACAGTATTCCCGATATTCAAAGATGGAAATGAAATGAAATAAAAGTAAAGTAAAATAACGAGTTATCAGATATCCGACCATTTGTTCTATTTATTGCAAGGCACCTAGATAGGCATACGATGTGGTATTTAGTTAATAACGAATAGTTAGTTACCTAGTATTTACCCCCCCTCATTCCCATGGCCATCTGTATTCCGAAATTCGAATTCTAGTCGCCGACGATACTTAATTCTCCACGCACGCACACACACACACACGACGACAAAAGGACTAGGTATTCGGTGAGCAGATTTAGGAATCAGGGGTCCTGTTCTGTATATGCAGTAGGGTGGTAGCTAGCCAAAACTCAGCAAGGCTATGGGAGGCTCAATGTACAGGTGCATAATCTTTGTCTACCTAGTACTCATCACATACCACCCACTAAGCACCATCCCACGCCTCATCTTCATCTTCGTATGCGTTCAGCCTCTGTCGATTTATGTAATAAAAAAAAGTTTAAAAATTTAAAAAAGTTTAAGAAAAAATCAGTTTCGCTGTATCATATCCAATCTAAAGATAAATCATAAGTCATCTATCTATCTACACTACAGTTCCATCACACAAACAAACTCCATAAACCGCCAATCAATCATACACAAATACTCGATTTGTATCGACTTTACACACATTTATTTATATACCTACCATTACTCATTCGTACCACGCACACACATATCACAGACCTGCGTTTTGATTTCAACCGAAAAAATATTTTCCGCATATGTATATCATATCATATCAAATCATGCCGTGTAGCCGTATGTCGTGTGCGCCCAGATTCTCACTTACACAACACGAATGACCGAGCCGAAACTGATCTTGTATAATGAATGCATGTGCCGATGGAGGGTATGGTATCCATGAAAGAATACCGATCTTGTTTACTTGCATGGTAGGTATGCTCTTGCCTGCTCTTGTCCGGGGATGTTCAACGTAATTGAGGCCGAAGCATTTTTCGCAACACTAAAATCCTCTTCGTGCATATCGGTGCTGCTCAAATGGCCACAAACAGAAAAATGTCATATCAGCCAAGAAGGCTTGACTGCAAGCTCTCAATTCATTTAGCAGAAAGTAAGCATCGTATTAGTTATTTGGTATGTAAGTACATGCTCAGATTCACACTCGTGTCTTTGTCCGTCGATTCCTCTGCTCCGAAGTCCTACTCCGATGCACCGTGTTGTTTTTCAAGTAAACAGTGTTACTTGTCTAAATGCGCAATCCCAAAAGGTCCCCGGGAATATGATGATTCAAAAGTTTTGCCATGTAAGGGTATTGATAAGGATTCAGGCTTATAATCTTAGTTGACTTTGACATAGTTTCCTGAATATTGGTGTTAACTTTGGGCAGTGAACATGTGAGTGATACGGAAAGACTTACCAGGGAATTGCCCTTGTTTTCCGTGAATCTTTCCAATCCACCATTCGTTCTCATTACTAGTTCTCGTCACAATCTCAATTGTCTCTCCAGCACTGAAGCTTAAATCACCCTCTGCTTGTGCCTCATAATCATACAGTGCGGTAGCAGTCTCCGCTGCTGGTGCACCGCTGAGTCTCGATGGCTTTGGTTTTGGTGGTGGAGGTGCCGCTTTTTTCGCTTTAGCGGCAGCGCCCCACGAACTACCTGTCGACGCCGATCGCATCACGCTGTTGCCAGGATTTGTAGGAGATAACATCGAAGAGTAAGGTGGTGGTGGCTTTTCCGATGATGAGAAGTCAGTAGATGCGCGGCGGTTTGGAGTCGTAGTCAGCGCTGTGGATGTAGATGGCTTGTTCTCAATGGCAAGACGGTTGGGTCCACCGAGAGCAAGAGGTTTTGGTGGACGTCTGGCACCTGTCGTCTTAAACTTCACAATGGAAAGGGCTTCTGCCTGGTCTCGGATATCGCCTCGTTTCGCCTCAAAACCTTCCTCGATATCAAGCTGGAGATTAAAGTATCCAATATCACATCCTTGCATCCTCTCGTGTAGGGTATAAAAGACGTTCAGTTGCATATAGTAAAACGATTGAAACAACGGACGAATAAACTCGCGCTCCAACGTAAAAAGTTTGGGTAACTCGTCCTTCAAGAGGTCATTATAATAATTGAACTCTTGAGTTGCTTGTTCAACATCATTCTCCGCTTTATACATAGCTTTCTCATCCTTCAAAGTCTTCTCTTTCTTGTCTTGTAGTTTCTTGAGTGTAGCTCGATGTCTGTCATAATCTAATTGCTTGTGTTGGCGTTTGAGCGCAGTCTTCCTGATCACCTTGATAATCTCTAATAATTCATCGGCAGGTCGAATCACTCTTGTCTCAATCATTTCCAGCTCTGGTTGTAGGGTCGCCAAGAGGTCCTTGCAAATTTCTTCGTATTCTTCGCATGCCCTGATTCCCTCTGGATTCCCTTCTTGAACCAGGGAATCTGGATCGGACATTCTTCCTGAAATTGGTTTGTATATTTCGGCGATCGCTTTAGAGAATTCAATCTGATGGTTCATCATGCCATTAATAGCTTCAAAGTATTTTTTACTCTCATCGTGTAGCTTTTTCGTCTCGGTTTCCAACTCCTGGAATCGCCGTTCCGCATCAATATAGACGGCATCTTTTGTTTGTTCCCCTAGATTGAACTTGGCTTTGAACGTTTGAGGCGCCTGTCAATCAGTCAGTCAAAATTGCAAGAATCCCCGCGATCCGGCATGGTAATGTTCAGTCATACTCACTCTAACCAGGGATTTTTGAAAGCCCTTGAAGGACATTTCCCAATTTTAGCTTCAAAATCTAGGAAGAAAAAGCTCAGGGTGAAGTTTTTGAGTTGATTAACAGAAGGCTTTGTTTGTAGCGTTGTATGTTTATTGTGATGAGTTGTGATGTTTGAAGTAGAAAGATGCCTCTGGTGGTATTTCAGGGTTGTTTTCTGTAGTACAGACGATGACGAGGAGTGGCTGAGCAGATCTTGTTGACGGCGGTTTCTATCAGCCCCGATATGCTTGGTATCTTATTACAAGTCCCTAGCTATAGGAAGAAGGATTCGCAATGGATAACAGCTGATAACGCCTAGCAATAGAGGACGAAGAGGTCAAGAATGGGTAACAATAATAAAGGAAGTATATGAAGGTATTCCCAGGTCAGATATGTCGAAGTGGAAGAAAACTTGCTTTGGCGCGCATTCAAAAGTCAAAATGTTCATGAATTGAATTTATGGAATCGTCGGATCGTTTGCATCAACTCACATGGGGGGGCATAACACGGCATTCTCAACAAGCATGGGCCTCTAAATGCCAGGGTAAGACGGAACCTGGAATGCATAAAAAGTTTATGAAGTCATCCCAATTTTAATGATAATTATGAAAGAACCTTGTCTTCCAGGTTGCTCTGCCACTGCCACTGCCACTGCCACTTTTGGATTTGATTACTCAGCAAGCAGCTACATCTATCCTCCAATCCTGATTGGTCGTTTCAACAAAGAATAAGCCGAAATCATGCTTTCATGCCTGATATATATGGCTCGAAAGCCCATCAATCCGATTTCCCTCTTTTTGACCAAGGTGGCCAATTACATTGCATATTCCTTTCAATTTTCGGTGATTCGCAAGACAGCACGGAGTTAGGACGAAACCTAGTACAAAGAGAGTTTAGCTTTATTTTAATCCGGTAGAATTTCAAATTCAAAAGTCTCCAAATAAGAAGCTCAATAGTTTCCCCTCAGTGGAATTGCCTTCCACTTTGATATCATCAAATTCACCGTTTATCATTCATGATAATGTCGAGTTTGGCTTCAAAATCATTGAGGCAGGCATCGCGCCTTTGCTTAAAACAATCATCTCCAGCTGCTGGACTGCTGAGAAGCTCCGCGTTTGCTCGGGTGGCGTCCATCTCAAGGAGGGGTTACGTTTCCGAGACGAAGAAGGATAGCGCTCAAGTTACTGTTGATACTGCGATCCGATCAGAACAGAAAGCTTTCTTTGAAGAGACTGGCAAACATGCTCAGGATCAATCAATATCTGGAACTTCCGTAAATGCTGATGCGATGATGAGTCCCATGGCTGGTATTTGCCCCTCGCACAAAATTTTGTATGTGAAGAAGTTTAACTGACATCGGCTTAGGCGTGCTTAAGCAAGCTACTGTCATGGACGAAGGCAACAGACCAATTTACTTAGATATGCAAGCTACCACCCCGTTAGACCCACGAGTATTGGACAAGATGCTGCCTTTCTATACCGGCTTATACGGCAACCCACATTCGAGAACCCACGCCTATGGTTGGGAAGCCGACGTGGCGACAGAAGAAGCAAGAGAGCACATTGCCACACTGATTGGAGCTGACCCAAAAGAGATTATTTTCACGAGTGGAGCTACTGAAAGTAACAACATGAGTGTTAAGGGTGTGGCGAGGTTCTTTGGCAGGGCAGGAAAGAAGAGGCATATTATCACAACCCAAACAGAGCACAAATGTGTATTGGACAGTTGTAGGCATTTGCAAGACGAAGGTTTCGATGTTACATATTTGCCAGTGCAGCAAAGCGGCCTGGTTGACATGGCCGAACTTGAAGCCGCTATTCGACCCGAAACAGCCCTTGTCAGTATCATGGCAGTCAATAACGAGATTGGTGTTATTCAACCGCTCGAAGAAATAGGTAAACTCTGCCGCTCAAAGAAGGTCTTCTTCCATACCGATGGCGCACAAGCTGTTGGAAAGATTCCTCTGGACGTCAATGCGATGAATATTGACTTGATGTCAATTTCATCTCATAAGATCTATGGACCAAAAGGTATCGGTGCATGTTACGTACGCAGAAGACCTAGGGTCAGACTTGACCCAATCATCAGTGGAGGTGGACAAGAGAGAGGTTTGAGAAGTGGAACTCTCGCACCTGCGTTAGTGGTTGGCTTTGGTGAAGCTTGCCGGATCGCAAAGGAGGAGTTAGATGTAAGCTTCGATGTTTCTTTTCCCTTTTTTGCTTACATGATGACCTACTTTACATATGCATGGCTTTCCTAGTGGCCTCCTTGCTTGCAAGTTGAGGCTTCTTTGACGACTCACAGTACCTTGTCTGATTTTGCAACTCAACTATTTGAATCGCAGCAAACATTGAAGTTGGGTCTATGCTAACAATACAATAGTATGACCATGCTCGCGTCAAAAAGCTTTCGGACAGACTCCTCAAGGGCCTTCTCGCAATGGAGCACACCACTCAAAATGGCGACCCAAATCATTTCTATCCAGGATGCGTGAACGTTTCTTTCGCTTATGTCGAGGGAGAATCTCTGTTGATGGCACTTAAAGATATTGCTCTATCATCAGGAAGTGCTTGTACATCTGCCTCCCTCGAGCCCAGTTACGTCCTCCGGGCACTCGGTAGCAGTGATGAGAGTGCACACAGTAGTATCAGATTTGGTATTGGACGTTTCACCACCGAGTCTGAAATCGATTACGTCTTGAAAGCAGTCGAAAACCGAGTCACATTCTTACGAGAGTTGAGTCCACTTTGGGAGCTCGTACAGGAAGGTATTGCTTTGGACAGTATTGAGTGGAGTCAGCATTAAATTTCTGCTAACAATGAAATGATATTTGGCGGGGTATTGGCGTTTTGTGATATCACTTCAGCGGGATGGAGGCTCTTTTGGGTGTAACATAGCGAATGATTGGGTGAAAATAGTACCCTCCATGTATACTGATTAAATGATAATGAATGCAACAATAGCATATCAAATTTAAGTACATCTCACCTTTGAGTTGGATGAGTTTGAAAAATCTTGAGAGGTCTTGAATTCATGCATGTATGTTTCACCACAGTGCAAGACAAACATCCAAGTCAACGATGATCACCCACCATTCCCCTCCGTGCCTCCCTAGTCCTAGATTGTTCTAACCGATGAAGGAGTCGTTCTTGTATCGTAGGTGTGGAAGGGAAGTGGTGTAAAATTATTGATCCTATGGATCTACTACGAGAGCTTATGTAAAAATATATTGATCCACTCGCACCTTCCATATTTATTATCCCTAACACCGACACGTCAACCAAGCTCGCCAGGTGAAGAATTGCCCAAGTAGATCCACATCTCAACCCCACCACGCAGTGAATCCCCCACTTTCTGCCTGACTTTTGGGATCTCTCCACTTGTTCTGCAAAATGTTGATTGCACACACTCTCTCCCTCATGCGATTGATTATATATTGCACCGATCTTGGAGCTTGTATGGAGGTGGAGGAAAGCAAAACGAGGTAAAAAGATTAAAAAGGAAGTTGCGACGGGCCTAATCCGGGATTGAACCGGAGACCTCTTACAGTTTAGATTGGATAACCCAAAGCAAGAATTCTACCACTGAACTATCAGGCCGATGAGAGATATTGGTCTCTTTTGATGTAGGAAGCATTGTTGTGTGAGTATATAAAGAGATGATTGGCGGGTGTGGAGAGATGTAAGCGAAAAAACAGGCTGGAACTGACCATTGCGCAATGGTACGTGCACCCTCACCAAAACAACGCGTAGAGAGCAGTGGTCAATTCCGGCCTGTTTTTTTTCCTACGGATAGCCACTCCTTCGATAATCCAATTGTTCTATTTCAATTTGAAGAATTAAATGTTTAAATAGTTTTATAAGATGAAGAGTATTTAAGGTGTTATTTAGTATCACTAACTTTTGTAATTCTATTATCGGTTGATTTATTATAGAATTTATTAGGGGGATTAATTTTGACTTCTTTTTTCTTTTAAGTACCTAGAGATTAATGGGAGCTATAGCGACCATCAACCGAGCTGGACTCCCGAAGTACAAGAAAGCTGGTGTAGATTTATCTTTGTTAGAAGGTAAAACAGAATCTTTGTTGTTTCATTCAACTGGTTGGTTAGAAAAGGAACGTGGGGTCTTTTTGAAAGTATGCGGAAAGAATCTCGTCGAATTGAGCAAGCATTGGGCAGATTACTTGATGAGGATTCTAGGAGGAGATGCAGAGGACGAAGACAACGAAGAAGATGGAGATAGCGAGAAAGATATTATAAAGATGCTATGTACATAGAAAAGCAGATAAGTGAAGTATATATATCAATCGAAAAGCTTTATTATAAATCTAAGGAAATGAAGGAGAATGAAACCGCGATTGGAAGTTCAAGCAAGGTGGTTAGAAAAAAGAACCAAAAGAGGGCAAGGATAGAGGTTGAAGAGGATGAAGAGGATGAAGAGGACGAAGAGGACGAAGAGGAGGAAGAGGAGGAAGAGGAGGAAGAGGACGAAGAGGACGAAGAGGAGGAAGAGGAGGAAGAGGAGGAAGAGGAGGAAGAGGAGGAAGAGGAGGAAGAGGAGGAAGAGGAGGAAGAGGAATAAAGGCCTGGTTGCTAGTCAAAGAGGACAGGAGATTTCGAAACAGAATGAATCTGCCGAAGATCTAAATGGATCAATATTTCTATAGCAGATCTCAGAATCATTTTATAAATAATAAAGTAATCAAAATCTGATAAACATATTATTTAGTATTTATATTATTATAATATATGTTTTGATATTTATATTTATAATATTATTATTATTATATTAAACTAAATATCTATCTGGGAGTATTTACTATAATTGGCTAAAAGTATAATAAATCAATTCGGAGATTTAGTGAATTATAAGAAAGAGAGGAAACCCACGAATATCAATATCAATTACAACTTACAAATCCAGAATGGACAGTTAGATATCTCATCAAGGATATCTATCTATCTGTCTACATTCGAGCCAAGAACTTAAGCATACGATTCTGTATATACATCTTGACTGAGTTTTTCTTTTCTATATAATATCTAAATACACTGTGTACTAGATAGCTATACTAAATTAGACAAACAATCTACTTCCATCTACTCTCTTTCTCCCCTCGGGAATTCATGCCTCTCGCGAGGCATGAATTCGATTTCTTCAGTAGTATCTTGGGGATTAGATGAGTGATCCAATAATTCTCAAAAAGTAGGTAAAGGAAGGGAATTGGGATGTATATCCTGACAGAGCAGATATGAAATGCTGTAGAATGTAGAAATTTAGCAGCGAGGCAGCTTCAGAGCTATGAAAATCTCAAATGTCAATCAATGTCTTTAGCGAAGTTCTATCTTGAAGGTGAGCACTTTCACGGCAGGATGACGAAAGTTTGCAGTATAGTGAAAAGAATAGCTGAACTGTAATAAATGTTTCAATTTATTAAATTTTGGGTGGTTTACAGGTAAGTGTTCGCTTCTCTACACTTTTGGAATCCCCCTTCAAATTTCTACATTGGAAAAGACATGACAATTTCCATTAAGTCAAAAATTCCACCAACGTTCCCAACATATCCTTCATCAATTTCTCCTCGCCATCTCCCTCCTCATCTTCTACTACCAGGGTATCCAATTGCTCTTGTATCGTCTCCTTCAATAAATTCAACCCCTCATCTCTCTCCGCCAATAATTCCCGGATCTTCTTTTCAGCCCCCGCATCCTCCGCCACTAACCATGCCAAAATAACATCAACAGTCTGCAAGCAAAACAATCCCGCGTCCATCCTTCTCGACAACCATTCGTCTGCTATCTCTTCTCTCTCTTCCGCGCCAAGTCTCGTTTGTTCTTTGCGGATTTCCGCATCTACGGATGATACCCGTGCTGCATAGTCTCGACGAAGTTTCACAAGCTTGCCTATCTTTTCATAGTCTTTCTCTACAAATTTGGCAAGCGTACGAATCCGACCGGCTTGATTGGCAGGCAGTAGACGCAGGAGACTTGAGAATATCCCTAGTAAATGTTCGATGGTTTGACCGTCGATTTTCTTCATGAACATTCCGAACACTACCTTGAGACCCGCCGCCTCTACCAGCTTTTCACAAACGTCTGCGCCAGATTGTCCTCCCAATGCATGATCTAATAGTCTGAGTGCGCGTGATTTGCTCATTTTGCCCTCTTTGACCATAATCAAACAAAGTTCGACACCTTCTGCTTCAACAAACTTTTGTTTTCCTTCTGGCTCATCAACACAGCAGGTTAAGGAGTCAAACACGTTTTCTACGAATTCTTCTTCCTCGGTTCCTTTAATAGGATCGCGTTTTCTGTAGGCTGCCAATATTTGAAGTAGGAGATCGACACCGTCTAATTCGCAAAGTTTCCGTCGATTCAGTGAAGATGATTGAAGGAGAATTGCCATAACTTCTGCCGAGTATTGTTTGTTCTGACTCACTGGCGACTCTTTTTTCGGTATTCGATTCAGTAACCAATTCAGTATGTTTGTCTCCTGGCCAATCTTCTCCGCAAGCGTTATTCTCGAAGCCAAATTTTCCAACACAGACAATGCATGGTATACACCACTCCTATCCGATTCATTGCTTTCATTGAACCTCGCAAAATTCGAGACCAACAGATCTAATAAATCCGCCTCAATCATAGCATCCACAATTTGATTCCACTGTTCTTGTTCGGCCTCCACGTCTTCGTCCGTAAGTTCGCTGATAATCTCCACGGCATCAATCGCAATATCTGTATTTTCGTGCGCCAATAACCCAACCAAGCTTCCAACGCAACCTAGCTTCGCAAATTCTCCATATAATTCAGGATTTTCTGATAGAATACTTAGAGCTTTAATATCTGCATCTAGGTCCGCTTCGCTCCCCATAAACTTTTGCGGATCGCTTTCAAATTTGGCTCTCAATTCCGCGTTCTTCGTGATCTTCTTCTCAAAGTTCAGGGCCATTTTCCGTAACCACGCCGAGTCGATTTTCTCAGGAACGATCTCTGCGCTTTCTTGTCCATCCATATAGTCTAATATTTCAGATTCATCTTTCGTGATACCACCACCGAAGAATCGGCCCTCTTCATCGTCTGGAATATCTGGTCCATAGTCTTCTTCGTCGTCATCAGGCGGAGCGGAAGGTCCAGCTTCTATATCATCATCCTCTTCTACTGCCGGTTGTTTGCCATTATTCTTCGCATGGCCATTCGCGGACAATTTCGCGGATTTGTAGATTTCATCTAATGGATTGCTTAGCAACGAGTTGGAGTACGAAAGAGGAGGGTTGCTAACTTGGATCTCGAGTAGGTTCTAATTTGCGCTTATGACTGGGTAAAGCTGGCTTCTGCAGAATGTTAGACGGGAGAACATGAGCCCAGAACATTATGTGCGCACCTTGAACAAATCATCAATACTTGACATTGTAGCGGATGAGCTCAGTTCGAGGCTGCACGTTTGTAGGGAATTGTCACTGCGATTGTGATACGGTGAGAATCGCAGGGTTGTGTAAGATACGCTCCTCGAAGGATTGGGCGTAATAAGATTCAATGGAGTTATTGTGGAATTGGCATTGAAATAAATCTATGGTTTGTTTATTTAACCTTACTTGAGAACTTATAACTTTTGGAGCTCCTTGAGCTAACCTGGGCCTTGCTTAGTCATTGTCTTCTTCATAAGGCTGACTGGACTTCATGTCATCTTTTTGTCTTTGATACTGATTATTGTATGTACAAGTGACCTTTGTTGCATATTGACGTTATCCACCGTGGGGAATATCTTTCCCGAGTTAGAACGAATACGGGTGATAAACAGTTTCATTTCTGATCTTAAATACTTACCACTGAGGAATACCCAGCTTTGATTCGAAATTCCTGGATTGGCCATACATTAAAACGATTGCCTTTTGATATTTAACCCGTTTGAGAAACTCGAATTCGCCGAATAAATTAAATAAACATGGATCTTTCAGAATCAGGAGGGTTCCTTCCAGATGCTCTTCCCTCCCCCTCCCCAAGCACTACTTCGGTCAGCTCCACCTTGTCCAATTTACCACAGCCACGTGCGAAACCTCTTCGTGCTGGATCAGGAAAAGAACAAGCTGCAAGGCGCTATGTTGAGAACAGGCTACTCCACATCTCGAGGCGATACACTAAAAAATTCGAGGAACCTGAAGAAGGAGATTCGGTAGTCGGCTATGTTAGTATGAAGGAGGTAGCTAAGGATCTTTCCGAGATAATAGATGTGTTGTGGCTCTCAAGTACACGTACGTAACGTACCTTAACTCATGTATGATCCTTGGGATCTTAGACTGACTGGAATAGCGAATTTACAAATTCCGTACTTGCTAAATGTGGCTCTGGTAATGACTACATATCCAACAAAGTTCCCTCCAGCACCGGTTGCAACCTTTGCTGTTCTGAGAAAACTGGATCATGCATTTGCTAGCTTACTGAGAGGAGAAGACTCGATTACTGGAGAGACCTTACCGGGGTTTCTAGCGGGTAGGAGAGCGGGAATGAGTCAGACTGATATGGTTAGATGCAGAAGTATAGTTGAAGATACCAGAGTGATGATCGTAGACGTCATGAGTAAGGAAGTTGAACCAGAGCTCGAACCTGAGAGCGGCGTCGAAGACAATGGTGACAACGGAGCCGACGGTATGAATTTGGATGAGGAGGACGACTCGGAATACGACAATGATGAGCTTGCCATGGATATTGCTAGAGTTTATGAGGCAACAATCATGGAGCTCGGCGAAAGGCTGGAAAGTGGTCCTAACATTGGAATTGGGCACAACGATTCATGAAGGGAACAAATCTTACAGTCACGAAAGGTTCTTAGGGTAAACTTGTATGGATTCTACCGAGTCAAATTAGCTGAACTGTCAAAAAGGTGAGGAGCTGCCCCGAATCGGCGATACTTTTCGTCGGCAAGGGTTCCGATGGAATGAAGCATGCTTCTCCTACATTTGTGGCCACGGATGTGAAAAGCCAAAGGAAGGAAGTATGAAGTTGGTTGTATGGACTACCTATGAAGACCCCAATACTCGTGAGAGGAAGGAGCAGCCTGCTTAATGCCACGGCGATGGTTCGCCATGCATGTTAATAGATCGAGGAGGGGATTGTGGAGATAAAGGGAAGACTACGAAGGTATTCCATCGAGGAAGAAGACACAAGTGCGGTATTAGTGGATCTCAGAAATGGAGAAATGAGAGAGATCATCAACCCATGCGACCTTACTAGGGTCTTATACAACAATGTCAGTCTCCTGTGTTCAGGAGCCTGCACTGTACTTATGATATCAATCGACTTTATTTGAAATCCTATTAGTACCATTCAATATCTATCTTGGCTGCAAGCTTACCGACCTACATCACTGTGTGTGCCAATTACTCATCTATGTAATGTATTCAAGATAAAATTGCTACATCGACTACCACAATACGGAAAGAAAAGTTCAGATATTCTCAGGTTCTTTTGACTTTCGTGCTTGTTTGTTGGCATGATCATAAATCGCTTTAATGAACACTATCAAACTAAAGCCGGTCACTCCTAAAAATCAGGACTTTTGTTGAATGTCTGGAAAATCTAATGAGT